GAAATGCCCCCATCTGAGAAGGAGCTCATTCCCTCCCTGAGCCCCCCAGCTTCCCTTTAGGGGCCCGGAGGAGCTATCTGAACTTCCAGCCGTCGTTCACAAGGAGACACCCCACACCAGGTCTACACACCTGTTGAGTGTTTCTTTGTTTATTCAGCTCATTAATATTTGTTAGGCACCCACTGCATGCTAGATGATGGGTAGACAATGGAAAGCTTACCACAGTCTGCTTGCCCCTTTGCAGAGAGACCAGCAATCCCATAGTGATTACAATACAGACAGACAGGCCGTGCTCAGCCAGGGACAGTTAGGGAGCTGTGAGGAGACAGAGGAGGCACTTGACTTGGGGTGGGGGCAGGCAGGGAAGGCTTCCGGAGGAAGAGAGAACTAAACTATGATCAAGGCAGAGCAGAGGTTACCCAGGTAACGAGGCTGGGGACGAGCACTGCGACTCCGAGGCAGGAAAGGTTCCTATATACTATTGGAGACATGGGGAAACTTCTTTCCAGAGCAAAGCAGGGGCAAAGACGGTGAGAGGTGAAGCTGGCAAGGTGAACAAGGACCAGATCACGAAGGACCTGGATACGACATTCAGGGGTCTGGACTTCATCCTGAGGGCAGTGGGGAGCCCTGGGGCTGTGTTCAGCTGGGAAGGAACATGATCAGATTCACAGTTTAAATGGAAGATCTCCTGATCTCCCTGCTTGGCGTAGAGCATGTTTAGAGGAGGCTGCAGGTGGGGGCTGGCTGGGAGACAGCTGCAGTGATCGGGGCCTGGAGTGGAGCACAGTCAGTGGGGCTGGGGGGAGGGCTGCACCTTTGAGCTATTTTGGAGGTGGAATTGGCAGGAGTTAGTGATGATAAAAATGGGGATTAAGGGAGCAGGAGGAGGGCAAGTTGACCCCACATTTCTGACTTGAGTAACGAAGCGCGTGGTGGTGCCTTCCCCAGAGGGAGAAGCAGATTTTGCCATGGCAGATGAGTTTAGTCTGAACGTGATGAATTTGAGATGTCCCGGTGACATGCAGGGGGAGGCGTTTGGCCCTCCATTTGCTGCTGGAGGTCACTTCGTGTGGTGTGCTGGAGCTGGCTCACGCTGGCTCACAAGAGCAGGTCGTAGACGCCACTCCCAACTCTGTTCAGTGACGTCACGTTGGCAGCTTGCAATCAGCCGTGGTGGGAGTATTTACGCCACGGAAACTGGCAAATTCTGTACAGAGCAGGACTCTCCTCTGCCGCTCTCCCTCACCCCAGCCAGTGGTTAAACACCTGCCAGCACAGAGTCTTGTTTGAAAGATGGGCAGCGCTGGCTTGGAGTGGAGGAGGTAAAACGAGAGAGGCTCTGGGCAGACACACGACTAACCTACTCTTTCAGGGGTCAGATAGGAGGGAAGGAGACTTCCTGGTGCGCTCTTTCCAACCAGAAGCTTCTTTCTGTCTGTTGCTATACCCCATACAGGTTGCAGGTAGGAGGAAGGTAAGGAGGATAGAGTTAGGAGTACACTTCAAAACAGCGGGGATCCACTTGGCTCTCTCTCCTGCCTGGCCTTGAATTAGGGAGGAGAGTTCAGAAGTGATGCAAAACTTATTTCCCTTGTTCTTGTATAGAAGGACATAATATTGATCCATAAATTAATCTACAAATAAATCTATAATCCGTAATATTAATATGATTCTAATTGCAGTGAGTTTTTATGGGATTGAGACTCCAACAAAACAATATTCAATTTCATTTGGAAAAAACTAAGCTTGTGAGAATGTCAGGAAAATTCTGAAAAATAGAGTAAGGGGGATGGAGGAGGGAACTAATTGTTCTCCTAGATATCAAAGTGTATGATAAAAACAGAGCAATTAAAACAACAAATAGAACAGAGTGGGGAGACCAGAAATAAAGCCAAATGCATCTGGGAATTTGGTCCATGATAAAGGCTTCATTTCACAGTACGAAGAGAAAAATCAATTCAGGAAACGAGGCTGGGACAACCGACAAGCCATTTAGAAAAAGATAAACCAAAAAAAAGCTTTAATAAAAAAGCTGAATCTCTACCCCACTTATTATATCAGAATAAATTTCAAAAGAATAAAATACTCAGATTGAAAACACGAAACTATAAAATACAAGGACAAAGCATCAACAAACATTTATAATTCTGAATTGGCGAAGGCCCTTTGAAACATGACATAAAACCCAGAAGCCATAGGAAAAGATTGATAAGTTTGTCGACATAAATATGAAACTTCCACATGGCAGAAAATATACCATAAAAAAGACAAATGTCAAATTGGAAAGAATATTTGCAACACACACGACTGTCAGAGAATTACTGTTCTTGACAAAGAGCTTTACTCAAATCAACAGGACAAAGACAAATAACCTAGTAGAAGTTATTGGTAATGAATACGAACGGGCAGTTCACAAGTAAGTAGGACCTGCCAGTACACACTGGAAGAGGTGTCCAACTGCAGCGTGTAATTGAAGAGCTGGAAATTAAAAGCCAGTTCCCAGCCTCTCCGAGTGCCTTACCCAGGCCCAACCTCCCCAGGAAGTAGAGTTCCAGTTTCCATTTGGTCAATGACAACATTCCTCCCAAGATCCCTGAAAAAGCCTTGGTTCGCCCTGGATTTGGCTCTGAGTTGGAGAGATGCATCCTGCTTCCAGAGCAGGCTCTGTAATTAGCAAACATGTGATTATCCCTACCGTGTAAACATCATCCGGAGTGGGACTTGAAGATGTTCCTTGGAATCCTCTCCTCCTGACCTTTTCCTCAAGCCTCTCGGCATTCAGAGTAGTTGAAAGTTTACACTGGGAGGTTTCAGAGATTACACTGCACAGTTTCCGGGTTTTCTCCTTAGTGCTATTCTTAGCATCACTTATCCTTGAGAGGGGAGAAGCCCGGGGCTCTTCTGATATGTGAGTGGCATCTCCTCCCTCAGGCATTTTGGACGGCTGCCTCAAGCCCATCCTGAGCCTGCAGATACTCCAGCTCGCTCCCCGCCTGACCGGTGCACCCACCCTGATGGCAGTATCCCCATCGCACCCAGCCTTGTCCCCTAACCATGTCTCCCGAGCAGAGGCCTCTGGGCACTCATGTCCATAGCTTCAAGGAGGACCCAAGCAGGCTGGAAATGTTTAAGGTTCACAGCAGATGGATCCAGAGAAATCTTCCTCTTGATAGGATCTGATTCTGAAACTACTGCTTGGCAAGGACAAACCTCCACTGATCCTAAGATGTATTGGGCTCAAAAGCAACCTTGCTTTATTCTGGCACTCCTAGGTTCCGTTTAATCCAACAAACATCCGATGATGGCAGATACTATTTCAGAAGTCTTTACATATACAGATCGTCCCAGACTTACAATGGTTTGACTTATGATTTTTTGACTTTACGGTGGTGCAAAAGTGATATGCTTTCACTAGAAACCGTACTTTGAATTTTGAATTTTGGTCTTTTCCAGGGCTAGCGATATGCAGTACGATCCGCTCCGTGATGCTGGGGAGTGGCAGCGAGCCACAGCTCCCAGTCAGCCACACATCATGAGAGTAAACAATGGATACACTTACAACCATCCTGTTTTCCTTTCAGTACAGTATGCAATAAATTACGTGAGATATTTGACACTTTATTATAAAATAAGGTTTGTGTTAGAGATTTTGCACAACTGTAGGATAATAGAAGTGTCTGAGCACATTTACTGTAGGCTAGGCCAGGCTAAACGTCTAGTAGTTTAGGTGTATTAAATGCATTTTCGACTTAGGATATTTTCAATTTACGATGGGTGTATAGAGATGTAACCCCATCATAAGCTGAGGAAGATCTCTATAATTGAATGTAATTTAATGGCTCTATGATATGAGGTTATACTGTTATCTCCATCCTATAGATGAGGAAACTGAGGCACAGAGAGGCTAGACAACTTGTTCAGAGTCGCACAGTTGTCATTGGTGGAGGCAGCCAGACTCAAAAGCGCAAGCTTGGGAAGAGACTGTGGCCATCTCAGTCAAGGGAAGACTCCAAGCTGAGAGGGAAACGTGTGAGAGATGTGGTGGTCCAGGGAAAAGCAAGTGAGCCAGTGTGCTGAGCAGAGTAGCTGGGAAGGTGGGGCAGGAAAGGAGCTAAAACGGTGGATCGGGATGAGGTTCAGGATGACCTTGAATGATGTGTGAGTAGAAGAGAACCCTGGCTGTTTCTTGAGAAAGGAAGTGACAGGACTCAGGTTTCTTAGCTCTCCATTATCCTTGCCTTACTGCTTAGCCCTCCCCAGCCCTGGATCTGCACAGCCTCATGCTTCTGGTAACCTCGCCACATCTCTTTTGTCCTGAATCTTGACCGTAAACCACTGGGCTATGACCGATGAACCTGCTTCTAGTCTCCAGTGTGAATACGTATCCATGTTGCACCCTGCACCTCCAGGAAAATGGGCATGAATTGACCTGCATCCCACAAAGCTTGGGAGATCCAAAGGCTATAGGAGAGGCCTGCTGGCCAGGGTAGAGGCAAGTGAGCAAGTTGACCTATTCTGGCCTGAAAACACACATTCTGAAGGTCAAGTTCTGATATCCAAACCATCCTTAGATAAGTGGCTGTGAGCAATTCCTGTGTAAATAAAAGGGCCTTAGAGGACCGCAGTTCCTGCGTTCAGTGTGCTGTGGGCCAAGTCCCCACCGTCCTCACTCTCCATCTGCCCGTGTACATGCCGAGGCTCAGGTCATCCAGGCAGTGAGGAGCTCTCAGGGGCCATGTCCCAGGAAGACCCAAAGGAGTCTGGCCGCCTGCTTGTCCCTTCCCCACTGCCAGTCCTTGGAGGAGATTTCCTATGTTCTGCTTCCATCTTTCTCCATCCTCCTTCCCAGCCAGCTCACCGTGGTGAGTGTCTCTCTCTGATGATCACAGAAGAAGGGAGGGAACTTACGGGCCCTCTGGGAGCAAAGGTGAACCAGGGGCCTAAGGATTAGCTTCATCCTCTCCTCACCCAGCCTCACTCCTCTCCATTCTTTTCAGGGTCAGCCAGGCACTCGAGGTTTTCCTGGATTTCCGGTAAGTGGGGAGGTTGAAGTTCACTGGGTCCCCAGTGACTCCTGGGCCTGGCTAGGTGAAACTTCATGCGGGGCAAGCCCTCAAGCTGCTCGTGCCCTTCCAAGCCCCCATCATTAAGGACCCTCTCCCGCAGCCTTCCATGGAGAACAACCAAGGAGAGTAGCTGGGCGCTTGGCTCATAGTGCAAGAGAGGATAGGGGAATAAATATGGAAATAAAGGGGCGGTGGGGCAGGAACAGGCGAGGGAAGCCACAGGCTGGTGAACCCAGCAGGACACTGGAATGTGGAACAGATGATGACCACAGGGAAGCAACCTGCCACCTGGCTTTGAGAGCAGATCCGCCAAGGAGGGGGCAGTGAGGTGGCCGTCTGGACATCCTTTGACCCCTGCCTAAGGACACCAAGACAGGTTCTAAGAGGGAGGGCAGAGGAGCAGCTAGTTCCCCTTTTCCACAGGGCTTGGTGCTGGCCAGGCCCTGGCTTTCTAGGAGCACACTGTCCACTGTCCACTCAGGGAAAGAGAGGGTCTGGGATAGCAGTGGTGACTGCCCCATCAGGTTCTCCCTCTTGCCAGGCACCTGGCAGACAGCATTCCACTCACTCCTCACAAGGACCCTGTGCAGAAGGTTCTATTATTCTCCTCTCCATTCTAGGATGGAAAACTGAGGCTTAGGCTTACCCATGGTCACATAACCAGCAGTGGTCCAACAGACCTGAACCCTAACCTGTTGGAGTCCTAACCACTGCCCTAGGCTGCCTCTTTGGCAGGAGACCTGTGACGCTCAGTCTTTACATCTGGCCTCTTTCTGCTTTCAGGGTCCCATTGGGCTAGACGGCAAACCGGTAAGTGGACCCTCTCGGGCTGTGGGGTCCTCTCCCTCACTTGGTCCAGGTCACTAAGCCGGGGTCTCTCAGTCCTTCTGCAAGACCCTGACTCCTTGGAAGAAGCTTCAGATGGAATGAATGTTCCTGGGGTGGAAAGTTGTGGCCAGTGGGAAGGAGAGGGGCCCTTAGCATGAGTTGCCCCTGACCCCAGTGGGCCTCCCCTGGGCACAAGTCCCTGGCCGCCAAGCTGAGCTCCCAGCATCTGGAGCAAGAGGCGTCCCTAGAATTTGGTGATCCTGGGGCACTCCTGGAGGGGCCTGGGGCAGGGATGAGGCAAGGAGGCAACAGAGAGAGAGGAGAGGTGGAGATCAGCCCATTAATTCTACAGGAGCCTGGATGCTCCTTCACACCCTGGCTCCCAGCCCCACCAGGCTGCCCCCTCTGTCTCCACTTCTGCTGGGGTCTCCATCCTGGTGGAGACCCCACACACACCCAAGGCCACTTGGAGTTGCTTCCTCATCTGTAGCTCCTCTCTTTGTTCATTTCAATCCTTTTGACTTGCCCCAGACACAAATGTTTCTGGGGGAAAAGAGACCTCTCCCCACTCCTAGGAAGGAGTGAGCTGGGGGAGAGCTCGACCCCTCCAATGCCCTCAGGGATGCCCCCCACAAGTGAAGGCAGTGGGTGCCAAGCCTGCCCCAGCCACTCACCTCTCCCCTGAGCAGCCAGCATCCTCTCAGAGGAGGGCCCGGCAGCCCGCCTGGTCACTGCCCCACTGCAGACCAGAGCTAGGCACAGCCAGGGGGCTGTGGTGATCATGTCCATTCATCTCACAGGACCTAGCGTCCCTCGAAGCTGCCCAAGCATGTAGAGGGGGCAGGGATTGGGGTCCAGAGAAACCGTCCTTCTGCCTCTCTTCTCGAAGGGCCAGCAGCTGCTAAATAAGACCCAGCAAAGGGCCACAGGCAAATGACCATGCCTGGTCAGTGGGTCAACAACTGTGTGGATGAGCGAGTGAGCGAATGAACGTGTGAGAAAAGAAAGAAATGTGTAAAATGAGCAATTGGCGATGGAGGGGGGAGTCACGGGGGGTAGGGCAGGGGGCTTCTGGGTCGCACACAAGGCACCTGGCACTCATGCTCTTCTCCTTCTAGGGCCACCCCGGACCCAAAGGGGAGATGGTAAGACCCCAGCTTTCCTGCCTTCCCTCGAGTGGTGGGGGGTCAGCCTGGCCCTCATGGGCCACAGCCAAGCACCACCCAGCAAAGGGGGCCAACAGGGATGGGGAAGTGGCTACCCCCACAGTCACTTGCTGGCTGTGTACAACGCATGCCCCTAGGCCCTCACACCACGCAGGCAGGAGAGGCAGGCAGGCGGCTTCTCCACCTGGAAAAAGAGGTCCAGAGAGAGTCCACGCTTGGCCACTGTCACCAGGAGTTAGAGGCTAGTGCTCCCAAGCTGCCACTCGCCTCGGTGACGAGCTTCCATTCAGCACTCGCTCTGGGGGCGTGGGGAGCCCACGCAGCACTGGGTCTTGGCCTGACTTTGGGGTGCCGACCCTCCCTCTCGGGGCTGCCCCGGGACTCCAGGCGCTCTGCCCCAGCTGGGCCCAGAGCAGACGTGGAGAAGCAGGCCGCGGCCCCCACCTTCCTCCTGGCCCCTCCACCTTCTGCACAGCCTTGTGAAGGAATTTCCGCTCTACAGTCTCCCCCAGGGCACTCCTTCCAGAAGGGAAAGGCCCCCTTGTCAGGGGCCATCCACTCTGGGGAGGGGCCAGTTCTCAGGGACTGCCCGGGGCTGGATGCTTTCCTGCCAGTGGGTTGTGAGGACCATCTCCTGTGGGCGGGCCTGGAGCTTGTGCCAGGTGGGGAGGGCAGTGGGGGCTCCCGTCTCCCTGTCCGGCTGGGCTCCAGCCCGTGTCTTGCTCCAAGTGCAGGTGTGTGAGCACTCTCCACCCACAACTGGGCACTGCCGCCGTGCGGAGGCCAGACCCCTGCCCCCTGAGGGACGTGGATAACCTGTGGATGGAAAGGAGACGGGGAGTGTCGGCTGAGAGACCTGGGCGTTAGCTTGACTCAGACTCAACTAGCGTTTATGAGGGTTTTCTATGTGGTGGGCACATGTGTTATCTCCCTTAACCCGCAGCATAACCCTGTGCTCCAGGTCCTGTTAGTATCCCCTTTGACAGCTGTGGAATCCAAAGCTCAGAGAGCCTAAGTAACTTGCCTGAAGTCACACAGCTAGGGACCATCCAAACCCAATTCTCAAATTCCTTCCCTCCACACTTTATTGCCATTCTCCCTCCTTATTTCCCTCTCTTCTTCCCTGTCTCTCTGCCTCCTTCCTTCCTTTAACACACTGTTATTGCGTATCTACAACATGCTGGGGCCTTTGCCAGGTGCTCGGGATACAGACAGGAGCAAGAAAAACACCATCCTTGCCATCCTGTAGCTCACAGTGTAGTGGGGGAGACATATATTTAAATAATCACTCATGTAATTAACAAATTGCCTGTGCAATCAGTGCAATCAAAAGGCAGTCCCGTTACCCTGAGAAACCTCGAGATAACAGCACCTCACACAGGCCGAGGGTCAGAGAGGCTTCCCTGAGAAAAAGACTTGAACTGGGGCTTGAGGGATGAGGGGCCTAAGAGAAAAGGGATTGGGAAGGAGCATTCTGGACATGCGAGAACAGCATGTGCAAAGGCCCCGAGGCAAGAAAGTCCTTAAAATAGCCACAGAACTGGAAGAAGGGCAGAGAGGCACTGGAGGCCGTGGGTGGAAGAGCTAGCATTGGAATCCAGGTTCCCCAGCCAGCTTTCCTCCCATCGTAGCCACCTCCACGGCAAATGCCTTTCTTGTAGCCCCTACCCTGTTCCTAAGCATGCTGTCTGTGCACATGCATGAGGTCATGGAGACCGAGGCAGGAATAAACTTCCATGCTGCTGTTGTTATAGAGGCATAAGGAGTTTGGATGCCAGAGTTGGAGTGCTTGTCCCCTCAGCCCCCTTCCCACCACCTTCTTCCCTTTCCTGGTGGCCTGACGCTACCATAACGTAGTCCGTGGCACCCCAGAAGCGATAATGACGGTCATCAGCTAGGCACTGTTCTGTCTTCCTCATAACAGCTCATCAGCCCCACTCTACAAAGCAGAGATGGCGGCACAGAGTGATTGAGTGTGTTGCCCGAGGCCCCACAGCTCCCAAATAACAGAGCTGGGATTGAGACCCACGTGGTGGCATCTTGCCCCTCCCCCACGCCTCCTTTCTGCTGCCCGGACCCTTTGTTCTGAAGGAAGGAACCCTTCTGTGGGGCTCCTCTTCCTGCCGTCCCTCTGCCCCACCCCACTTAACCACCCATGAGTCTTCCCTGTCTGTTGGGGGGTCAGAACTAACTTGGGGGGAAAGGGTGGGGCCGTCCCATCTCCCATGAGCCCACGTCAGCATGATAGATCCCCTGTCTGCCTCCTAGTCATCCATCCACATCTGACAGGCCGCAGAGCCATTAGGCTCCTATTTGGCTTGGCACGAGGACCCTGAGCTATTAATTCAGCATGCTGTCTAGCATAATTGCCTTGGCCTGCTTATCGTCTGTCCGTCTCCCACCCACCTCCCTCCCCAGATGGTGGCCTCTCTGCTGGGCGTCCGACATGGGGGGCTGGGGCTCACCCTCACGAGCTTAACCTGTGTCCTCACCTGTCAAAAGGGGGTCACCTCTGCCCCACCCCATCACGGTAGCCCCGAGAACCTGATGTAAGGTGTAGACAGGATCAGGGGTCCCACAAGTGCTGTAAAGGAGAGCCGAGACTCTGAATTCACATCTTAGCCCACCATTCTCATGGTTGTCCTATGGGTGAGAGGAGCTAATTCACACCAAGTGCTTAGAACTTAGTGCCTGGTGCATAGGACACGACAAGCAGCTTAGTTAGCATGTCACCCATGCCCTGTCTTACAGGGGCAGCCGCTATGCAGCTGGAACTAATTGGTGCCATGTGTTGTTGGACCTTGATATATTTAAGAGAAACTTGAAATCCAGATTTTTGTTGTACTCCCCTTGCTCATAAATGTTGGCAAGTAATTGAAATAAAACTGCTTGGGATCCACAAAATACCTCTGGGGACCACGATTGTCCCATTGGCCACCATTTGGGACATCTGGACTCAATCCTCCATGTTTCTGCAGTCCCGAACCTTTGTGTCATTTTTCTCGGCCCCTGGCCCTCCTGCCTCTCATCATACCCTCTCTCTGTCCTGAGAGAGTGTGGCCTGGTCACCTTCAGTCTGGTTTCCTGCCACATGCATCATATTCTGCTGAGCTTGATACTAAATACTTGGTCAGCCACATGGGCTGGGGTACCACATGGATTGTCCCAAAGGCCACTTGTCCCTTCCCCTGAACCTCCTGGGAATTTACCAGTTTGGTAGTTGGTCTAGTTGGCAAATCAGGGGCCAGAGAAGGCTCTTCTCCCACCCAGATGGATCTGTCCACTGGGATCCTGAGTTTTTCAAGCCCCAAAGGGACTGGTCCAGCAGGGGAGCCTCACAGGCCCTCAGGATGTTGGCTGGAAAGGACCACAGGGCTCCAGGGGCTTGGGCACTGCCTGTGGCTCTAGCCAAGTCTAGAAGCCCCGCCTCCAGGGTCCAGCCCAGTTCAGAGAGCGTGGCAGAGTGGGAAGAGCTGGATCTTCAAGGTCAGACAAGCCTGGGCTCGTGTCCCAGCGCCACCACTCGCTGAGCCGCAGGGTCTTGTCTCCATCACCTCGTCTGGGAGATGGAGCTGACATGAGCACCTTCCTCACGGGCCAGAGTGGGTGTGAGCCGAGCATATACTAACAGCCTGCCTCAGAGTGGGTCCTCAAAACACGGTGTGCTTGTCCTTCCCCTTGTCCCTCCAACCAGCCGGGAGGCCTCCTCGACACTGGCCTCAGGTCAGGCTCCTGAGAGAGCCAGCTGGACGCTGTGTCCTCCTCAGAGAACACGAATCCACTCTGAACCCAGGCTCCTTTCTCAGCCCTGTGAACTTGACAAGACACCCTGGAAACCCCAAGGCCCCTAATGTTCCTCCGAGGGGGCTAGAACATGACCTAAGTCACCAACTTCCTGCTTCCTCTCTCTCGCCAAAGGTTTCTCCAAAGCCCCCAATGTCTGCAGTGCTGCCCCAGCCCCCCATGTCCCCAGAAGCCCTTCTGGCTCAGTGGGTTTCATGCTGAGGCCGCGGAGAGTAGAAGTTAGAATGTGCTAGTGTCTTCTGGAGGCTTTTGGCCTCCTACTTCTTGGCTCCACGTGGAGATGGGCATGGATGAGGCCCGGCATCCCATGGGAGCAGAGCACCACCTGACACGTAGATGCAGCCTCCTTCCTGCATGGCAGGCCCATGAGACGAGGGCAGCTGGAGGAATGAATGAAGGATGGCATTTGTTCTTCATCTCGGCCGCGTGCGGGGGGCAGGGCACACCTAGTCTCACATCCATTGACCAATGAAGAAGCTGAGACGTGGAATACGGTCCACACCCCTGGAACGTCTCCAGCACAGGAAGACCGGGGAATGGGTGGCGGAGCCCAGCCTCTGGGACTCTGGGCATTCTGAAAAGCAGCTGGAAGCCCTGGTTTCTAGCACAATCCCCACCCAGACCCACGTCTCTGGTTCTGCCCGACTTCCCGTGCACCCACTGACCCGTGTGTGTTTCCTCCCACAGGGCCCGAGGGGTCCCCCAGGACAGCCGGTTGGTATCTCACCTTAATGTTCCCCAGCAGAGGGGCTTCGGGCCGCTGTGTCCCCAGCTTCAGTCTCTAACTCTCTCATTTCCATCTCTTCTTAGGGACCTCAAGGACAAAAAGGAGAAAAGGTAAGCGCGATGGAGGTTTTCTAGAATTTTCATCTCAGGGAACAGCCTCCCAACAGGCAGAAAAGAGTCCAGAGTGATTCTTTTCAAACTTTAGTTTTCATCAGCTGCACCCGGGACTCCTCTGTGGCCCCGTGGTATACGAGAGAGAAAAGAGGAGCTGCTCCTGATGATCCTCTTCTCTTGGGGGAAGGGGCGGCCCAGAGCCTGGCCCTTCTCAGCCTCTTTCTGAGCCCCTCCCACCTGCCACCCCCACGCTGTTTCCTGACCCACCTCCATGAGCCTCTAGGATTTTGAGGTGTCGGTTTTTAAACCACTGGCCTGGCACCCTTCCTGACCTCCTATATCTCTGTCTCCTTGAATTTCTGACAGAGACTGTGCTGGGCTTGCCCCCAGGTGGGTGGTGGAGGAACCTGGCACCTCCGGCACAGAGAAGGCATCTCCCAGGGCCCCATTGCCCACAGCCTGTTCAGGGCCATCCGGTGGACCCACCCAGAGGGTCGACCTTTCCAGTAGATACCTCCAGCTAAGGATGGAGCATAACTCCTGACCCTGCCGTCATGGCAAGTGGTGTATGGCAGCGGAGTCCTGTCCTAGGCTCCATGGGGCTACATCAGGCAGGCCCTGGGGGTTTCTTCCCTGCTGCCACCCAGGGACGAGGGAGGGGATTAGCTCTCTTGCCTCAGAGAGCTCAGTCCAGGACCAGAGCAGGTCTGGCAGCTGAGGAGTGTGTGTCCACAAGTCCTGAGGGTACCCCTGGGGGACAGCCCTCACAACAAGTGCCTAACACCCTCCTCTCCCTCCCTCCCTTCCCCAGGGTCAGTGTGGAGAGTACCCACACCGGGTAAGTGAACCCCTAAAACTGATCCCTCCCTGGGGCACAGCCCCTAGCTCAGCCTCATCTCCCTGGGCCCCCAGCACCTACAGAGTTTGGGGAACAGGAGCATACAGCCCCCTCTGTGCTCAGTAGCCAGAGCAGTGGCCGTGGGGGTGGTAGTATGTTCGGCCGGCCCCCGGGAGTGTGCCTGGTGGTCAGGAGGTGCGTCTGTGCGGAGCCGTCTCCAGCACTCGTGTTTGCCCACCTGTGCGCGTGTGTGTGTCTCTGCCCCTGCGCTGGCTGGGCCTGCGTGTGTGTCTGGAACTCGCGTGCCCAGCTGTGCGCCTCCTCTGCACATCGCCTTCTCTGTAAGGCCGTGCGGCTTGTGCAAGTCTGGGTCTGACTCCCTACCCAGCATGTGTGTGACTGTGTGTGCGTGTCTGGCTGCCTGCCCTGGCCAAATCAGAGGGACTTTTGAGTTAGTCATTGTTTCAGATGACCCAGACCTTGAGGGTGGGAGATAATTGGGGGCTGACTGTATCGATTCAAGGATAAAGTCTCTGCTCTGCCTCTTTAAGAATAGAGGAAGCCCTCTCCACACAAGGTAGGGGATTTCATGGCTGGGATAGTCCCCCACTCTCCCCCGCAACCCCTACCCAGCTCCTTCCTTTTCCTTACTCCATGCTGGGATACAGAGCCCAAAGCCGCTGTAGCCCTATTAGAAACCTTCACACACTTGCACCGACAGCAGGGGGCCGTTCCTGGGACAGGGAGGGCCAAGGTGTGCACTGCTTCCTCCAGCGGCAGCACCAGTGGGCTGCAACCAGAAAGATACCCCTCGTTTTGTGGATCAACCTTGCTGCTCTCACACCCAGGCAGTAGGGTAGCATCCCCTGTCGGGGGTCTCGTTTTGCCCAGACACACGCCCAAGCCCACAGGGTGGCTCCCCTGGCTGCTGACCCCTGCCAGGCAGAGGGACTGAAGGAGTGGAGACAAGCACAAGCCAGGTTCAGAGTCCACCTGGCTCCGAAGGCCACAGGGAGGACCTTACTAGCAGGATCCAGCCTCTGAGACTCTGACCCCTGGGTTCCCAGGCCAAGGAGAGGCCACGGGGGCCTAGACCGTGAGCGGCTGGGTGGGGCTGAGGCCAAGGCTGGGCTGGGCCTTGGTGGGGGGTGCAGGCTGGCAGGAGCGCAGACAGAGCCCGCCTGTCAGTGGCATGTGCTCCAGGGATGCAGGGGCCCTGGTGTTCCAGCCGCCTGATCCCAATACAATAATAGAAGGTCAGCTGTGTTTATTTGCAACGATGGGCTCACAGGATTGTTATGTCACCCGAAAGAAAGACAGCATCCCCAGCACAAGAGACAACACAACTGCAGGCACTCTGGCAGTGTGTCATCAGTCCCCAGCAGATGTGTGGGGCGGACAGAGGAGAGGGTTCTCTTCCCTCAGCCCAACACAGGAAGAGGGAGAGGGTGGGGATAGAAGGCTCCAGAAGAACCTTGGCCACAGTGTGCAGCGAAGCACAGCGTTATGACTATGGCAGTGTGGGGAACAAGTCAGGCAAGGGTGAGAGTGGATTTGGGGAGCCAGCTGATGGGCAGGGCAAGGCAGTGGGCACCCTCTGTTTGTTTGCAAGTGAGTAGGAAAGCAAGGAGTTTCTAGGTCTGTCTGCTTTCCGAGGGCATGGTGGGGGTGGCAGGCCTCCAGGCCTGCAAGATACCAGGAGATCCAGGCTGGTGCCTGCCTCTGTTCCAGCCTGCAGCGTCCCCAGGGAGGGAGGGAGAGGAGGGGTGGGAGTGAGGGGGATGGGGTGCCCTGGGACGGGGAGCAGGGGGACTGGTATCTGTGGGCTCCAGCACTCACTCTCCCCTGTTGCCCCGTCTCTGCCACCTCCACTCCCCCCCGACACCAGGAGCACCTAAGCAGCACTCTTGCAGCTCTGCGCTCCAACCAGATAATTACCCTGAAGGTTTGTAGGTTCTGGAAGGTCCCTGGGCCCCTCTCTGCTGAGAAGCTCCCTGGCCGCAGGGCCCAACATTGCACGACCCCTCGTTCCCCCGGGGGAGGGGTGGGGCTCTCGGTGCAGCAGCTATCCGTGGAGGCAGCGACGACCTGGAAAGGCCATGATTGGGCTTCCCCGGCTGGGTGCAGTCTCAGCCCGGGCAGCCCTGATGCTAAACGCTCATCCTAGAGGGCTCATGTGAGTTAAAATACTTTCAAAAACAGGAGGTTGACGATACACCATCTTTGTTTTCACATGGGTTCTGACTGCTTTCTAAAGCCACGGGGTGCCCAGCTTCAATGGGTAGAGGTACCGGAAGCAGCAAGAATTTCCAGAAATGAAAATCACATTAGATGATGTGATTGCAAGTTGCTTCTCCGCAAAAAGTGGTTGAACATGCTGGAGACATCTTTGGCCAGCCTCTATTTTCCAAGCCCACCAGCCGGGGGTGAGACCTCAGTAGCACTTAGCTTGTGCCCACATTGGCCACACCTCAGCCGGCTCAGCCCCTAGGAGGCCAGCTTGGCACTGCCCTTGACCGTTCTCCCCAGATTCGCTGACACCAGCCTTTCTCGTTCAACCAAAAAAAGAACCCGGAGGTCGCTGCACACCAGCCTGGCGTCAAGTACCAATTTAGTTGGTCCTGTGCCTCCCTAGCCAGAGCCTCTGAGTTGGCTTCCCTCTGTCCATGACCAGGGACGGGTGGGGCCCCCACTGCAATGTTGGGCCGCGTGTCAGGCAGCTTCTGCAGCCACAGAGGGCAGGCCCGGCCAAGGAGGGCCACTCTCCCAGTCAAGGGGTGCTGCTGGCCGATACCCTGAGGGCCACTTCTCCTTCTGGGGACGGTGTGGCATCCCAAGGCAGGCTCAGCGCTGTGCCCCACAAGCCGAGAGAGTGCCCCGTCCACGCGCTCCCTCCCTGTGCCTTGTGCTGGCTAATCTCTCTTCTCTCTTCCTCTCCTCCCCTCCCTCTTGGCCGCCCTGGCTTCCTGGCGACTTTCGGCATCCTTCTGAACACGCGTGATCTTTGGCCTTTGCCCCCTGGCCTTCCAACTCATCTTTCTCCTCAGCTGCTGCCTCTCCTCAATTCAGTGCGACTGGCTCCACCCCCAGTCATAAAAAGGCGGACCTTCCAGGTAGACACCTTCCCTTTGCCCAGACCCCATGTGGCTTCCCCAAGGGGCTTCCCCAAGGGGCTCAGCAAGTCTCTGGGCCCTGGCAGCCCAGCTGGGGCTGTAGATGAAGCCAGAACCTCACTCTACTTCAGTTAAACTAGACAGAAATAGACCCATGAATGCTATAGACGTGGAAATACACAACACCCAAGCCCAGGAGATCCACAACCACTACCACACAATTACTACTCACAACAGCCACCAACAACAGGCGTCACCGTGTACCAGCCACTGTGCTATGCATTTTACAGGCCTGATTTCATTTAATTCTCTCAACAGTTTTATGAATTAGGCATGATCATCCTTATTTCACAGATGAGGAAATCAAGGCTCAGAGACGTTGAGTAAGTTGCCCAAGGTCACACAACCAATAAATGGCAGAGCACTCAGGTTCTCCACCTCTTACTAGCTGTGTGATTTGGGGCAAGTTACTTAACCTCTCTGTGCCTCAGCTTTCTCATTTGTGGAAGGAGGATGATAACAGTTCCTACTGCGTAGGGTTGTTATGTATACAAAGCACTTGGAGTAGTTCCTGGCACAGTTTAAGTGCTGTAATTAAATTGAGGATCAGAGAAGTGAATTTGTGCCCAAGGTCTTACAAACAGCGAGAGGCAGAATGGGAGCTGGCAGCCAGGTCTTCAGACCCCACATCCAGGCTCTCTCAGCTGGACCTACACCCTTTATATTTAGAAATGCAGATTGCCTAGCATCTGATCACTTGTAACCTGAGTTTGAGGAGTGAAGGAATTTGCAGAAGAAAATGTAGCCCATAACCAACAGGTGTAACCATTGTGAGCAATTGCTGCCTTCTTCCTTCCTTACTAACCCAAGGAAGCTGAGATAGGACCAGATGACAAAGGACAAGAGACCACAAACCCAGGGATCCAGGTGTTGCAGCTTGATTCCAGGCCAGGCAGCCCATGGCCACCACCCGTGCCCCTCGCCTTCCTTCCACTGTGCAGGGGTCTCCCCCATGGCCACAGAGTTGCTGGAAGTGGCTCCGAGAGGCTCTCTGAGAGCCTGACAGCAGGGCCTGGAGCTACTACCATCTGGCCTAACTCAGGAGTCAGGGGCCCAGGGGCCTGCGTGTTCAGGCAGCTGATTGAACAAGGCTGAAAAATCACTCCAATTAGCAGCTAAAAATACAGAGGGACACGTGATGCGTGTGCCACCCGAGCCTGTGTATCCCGTTACACCGCCAAATCCTCGAGAGCTCCCATGCACTCCGAGCGCTTACCCTGAGCGTGGCTATGCAGGGGGCCCGCCCCACTGTCACCCACCCCTACCCGTGTCAGACCCCATTCCAGGAGAGCCGAGTCCTTGCTCTCAGAGCAGCCATTCGCCTCAACCCCCAACAGCCACCCCCTGGCCTCAGTTGGTTCACTGCTGTTTGTTGAGCCCTCGCCGGGTCCCGGCATTGTTGTAAGAACTGTGCATGGATTGTCTCCTGTAACCCACACCAGCCACCCAGCAGTGGAGGGGCCATCATCATCATCCCACCCTACAGAGGAAGAAATGGAGAGGGGCCCAGGCGTGTTCCTGCCTTCCTTTTCAAGAGCAAGGGGTGGGTGAGCCAGAACTTTCTGTGCTGCCCTGACCTGGTTTCCAAAGTAAAGAGAGAAGAATAGGGGCCCCTGTTCTGCCCGCTGCAGGTTCTGCCTGGAGAAGAAGGTTGTTATGCTGTCAGCCATCATGGGACATAAAAAAACTTGTCCATTTCCTATCGATAAACCAATGTTGATTTTACACGCTCTGTAAGATGCTTAAGCTTCGGGTCTAACATTAGTTGAAAGAGGAAACTTTACATGAGATGTGATGTGCTTAGCAGATGGTGTTGGAGGTCATTTCCAGAGTGCAGAAAGTTGGATGGTGAGCAGTTTTTGCTGGGGGCTTATTTGGAAGGAATAGGAGTAGTCTGGAGTTCTGAGTGTGGGTGCTGGCTCCCCCTGAATTCTCCATGTGACCTCGGTCAGGGGCCTCAACTTCTCTGAGCCTCGATTTTCTCTTCTGTAGAAGGGAACTTGTGACACGTTTCTGTATCTGCCTCCTCTGCCATGGATACACTGACCCCTCAAGTCGCTTCTCGGAGGGTGTGCCAGGATGAAGCCCAGGCCCCAGGTGACACCACTGGGTGCCATCTGCCCCAGGATGCCCAGCTAAGAGATGGTTCCAGCAGTCATTACTGAAATCTTACAGTCCTCCTTCTGAGGTTGTGCACTCCCATTTATCATCATCACTTTCCTCTGTAGAGTTTGCAGCAAGCAGCATCAGCTCCTTTTTCATACAGGGAAGCAGGAGTGGCACAGAGGCTTGCTGAGATCACACTGAGGAGAGTGGGCCGGCCCAGAACTCCGGCCGCCTGTGTCCCCCTGCATCCCAGCCTGGAGCTCCCACATCTGCCAGGCTGCTCTGCTGTAGTCTGTCTGCAGGGTCTGGCCCCTTCTCACAAGAGCTGAGCCTAGATGTCCCTGGAGAGGTCACTTAGAAAATAACATAATGGCATGAGTCTAGATCTAGGATGACTCTGACCCCCAGCCCCAAGACCTGGGTCACATGGACCAGGCTCTCTCCTCCTCCTGAGGGAACACGATGCCACCCCTACCTCCCTGAGCCCTCGGTCCATCCTGGGCACAGGCACGGTGGGTGACGAAGGCTGGGCTCAGAGCAGCGGACTGAGAAGTGGGGCCAGGGCACAAGAGTAATAATAATGCTCCCACACAGGCAGAAAGCACTTGACAGTTTCAAAACTCAACCAAGCTAAGGTTTGCAAACTCAACTGTCCTCTGAGGTCAGGCACATTCACGGAAGTGACAGAAGCAGGCTGCGCATCTGAAGGATAGGGAGTGGGGACTGAGGCAACTGGAGAACTCATGCCCAGCCGGAAGGGGGTGCCACTCCCCAGGCCCAGCCAATGATTGCCCCCAGGAATGTGGGCCTAGCTTGCCGGGGCTCCCAGGTTGTCATCAGAAGCCACTAATCCAAATTTTTTACATAGAAACTCTTGCCCAATTGTTTAGTGAGCCAAACAAAATTCTGTGGCCTCTGACCTAAGGATCTCATTCGATCCTGTGGGCCAGAATCAAAGATGGCAAAGGCTGTGAGAGGAAACATGCACAGCTGTTCTCCTTCGATGGCCAAGAGGCCAGGGCATAGAGATGATGTGACCCACCACACAGAAGGAGGGGACCAAGGCAGGCCCAGGCCACAGACCACCTGGGCTGGACTCTGGCCATCCAACGAGGCTGGGAGCAGCCCTTTGGTCAGGCCAGGGGTCATCCCACCCGCTCCTCTGCCGCTGCCCCCCACAGCAGGACCCTCACCCTCAGGACCAGCTGCTCATCCAGCAGGTCCTCTCTGGAAGCCCCTCCTCCTGGGGGCCTAATGTCTTGGCCATCTCCTCGCTGCCACCAATCCCTGCATGTAGTCACGACCACAGCCTCATCACCGTCACGCCACCACTGCCTCCCCACAGAGCCCACAGCGAGCCTTCACCGGGTGCATGGCACTGGGGCGGGAACCTCTCCACAGCCTGGGATTCTCTCTAACACTTGTTTCCATGTACCTCAGGGTGAACAGGGTCAGGCCGGCATCCAAGGCCCACCAGGGCCACCAGGACCTCCTGGACCGAGTGGACCTCTGGGGCACCCAGGACTGCCAGGGCCCATGGGGCCGCCCGTAAGTACCCCCTCCTCTTTTCACCACCTCCTCTCCTCCAAGATTTGTCCCAATAATTCTCTGGAAGCCTCCAAACTTTGCATAACCAATGGCAACCTGGGTCCCTACCAAACAGCAGAAACAACTTGGCAAGGCCATTGGATGTGGGTGGCCTATGCAAGGTCACACTCACCTGCTGCGCTCTGGTTCTGAAAACACACCTCCTGGGGCCACGTCCCCACTCCACTCATTGGCTTCCAGGGAAGGAATCACTAAGAGGCTGCGCCTTTCCCAGCTTCAGCAGAGAGGAGCTTGGACCACTGCTGGGAGGGGCCCAGGGAGGCCAACAGGCACCTCCCTGCAGGCAAGACCACACTCAAGTAACAGGTCAAGCCCAGGGTCCACCAAGTCACCCGTTTCCAAGCTCTGGCCAAGACTTGACTCTTTCTCAGCCCAATTTAGTGCAAGAAAGCATCCGGGCAGAATAACTCAGCAGACGCCTGGACTTCTTTGGAGAAAATGGCTTCTCCACCAGAGCTAAGACTAACGCCACACGTTACTGGAGGGCCAGGGGATAAGGACAAAGTCTGTTTAGTAATCGTTTTTTCCAGGTGGCTAAAAACAAGACAAAAACAAAAAACTGTTTTTCTCTCTTATGACAAAAGCATCATACGTTCATTGTGAAAAATTTGGAACATAGACAAAGAAAAGTTTTAAGTTGTCTATTTTCCCACATTCAGAGTTCACCATCATTACCGTTTTGGAGAGTCCTTCCGTTTTCTCCTTAGACCTATCTGCACATAAACATTTTCCAGGTTGGCAATGTCCTGAAAAACAAATTAGTGCGTGTCCTGTTACATTTTTCACTTAACCTCATCAACCCTGCCCTTTCCTATGTCGGGAGTGTCCTGGGATGTGGATTTTAGGGCTGCTGGGCCCATTTACAAGGTAGCTAACAAGTCCCTCTGTAATCTTTATCCTTGAACATCAATGTTTGTGCACATCTCTGATTCTTTCGCAGCAATCGATTCCCAGAGGTGGAATTGCTAGCTGTCCTTGCCAAATAGCCCTCGATGAGGACGGCTACCTTCCAGGTCGCTCGGCTTCTCATCTGAGCCCCTCAGCTGCTCCAGCTGCCAATGCTGAAGCTCACTATGGCGTCCTCTAGGCTGGGCGACAGCTCCAGCTGACCAGGGTGCAGAGCTTGGCCAGAAGGAGGCACAGCAGTGTGAAAACCTAACTTGCCAGCTCTCTTGCCCGCTTGACCCCGTCAGCAGATTTTAAATATTTCTGTGATTTTGCCCCAGGACCCAAGGGAGGAAGATTAGTCTCACTTCCATGGTTTCTAGACGGGAAAACGGAAAACCTGAAAGGAAGTGAAATTTAGGGAATTAAACCAAACCAAGCCAAGAAAACCAAAAATGTGCTCAAAATCCACTTCTTTGCTGACGCCCTCCCCCAAACACATGGGGCTCCCACTCACTGAACCCAAGCCAGGTGGTTTTCTTTGTCAGGCTGTTTAAAAAGAAAAAAAACACAGAAAGTGTGTTTTTAAACCAATTGACACAGACCAGACCCGGGCGTCATGGTTTGCGCCAGCCCATGTTTGCCTGAGACCGCAGTGGAGCCAGCCTTGCCTCGCCTTTCCCTCGGCTCCTGCAGGTGCTGGGCCAACACCACCTCCTCTCGGCTGGCTGCCATGGTCACAGCGCCCCGGGCGGAAGGAGACAGAGGGCTCCCTCGCAGGCTGGCCAGGCTCTGCTAGGCAAGGTCGGCTTTCCAAGGATGGGTCCCAATTAGGAGGTGGGTGGGGTGGGGATATGGACCAAACCACAGTTAATTTTACATGATGCCACTGACCTATTTTCCAGTGGGCAAGCAGAGCAGAAATGCCCATGGCATCCACGTGGCTCCAAAGAGGGATGTGAGTTTGTTGTCCCCACGTGCCCTCAGCGGGTTCCAGATACCCGTCCAGGGTCCTCTAGCTCTGTTCTCTAGCACGTTCAGAACCCATTACAGCTACTGGAGGGCTACTCTGCCTTCCAGCCTCCACTGGAAACATGACCAGCCCCAACCATTTGCCAGTGGAATCCATCTCCACTCATCTTTTTCCTTGCTTCCACAGGGCTTACCTGGGCCTCCTGGACCGAAGGTGAGGGCCCTTCTGGTGATGCACTGAGGGGGTGGGAGAGTTCCCTGCAGGAGGGAGGGAGAGGGGCAGCACTGAAGGTTACCGAGTAAGGAGCTGCAAGGGATCTCACTGAGAGATGGATCATGCGTGGCTCACTTCCAAAATGCCACCCTTCTTTTGGGAATTGTGGGGTCCCACAAAGATTGCACTTTTGTATGCTCAGGCTGAGCAAGTGCTATGGCTGGTATTGAAGGTGCAGTCCCACCCTCCAAGGAGCTTATAGTCTTGTTGGCAACTCAAGGTTGACGCCCAGGACACTGTCACAACATCCCAATAAAATAGTGTTTCCTCAGGGGTCAGAACTGGAAGAGACCTTCGGGGTCATCCAGTCTCTTGTGAAACCTTATCTGGAAGCCACGATGTCAAGCAGACTCTCCCTTTGAAGCTGGGGACCCTGGGGCTCTGGGGGTCCCCCGAGAAGTTGCAAAGCCCAACCGTTTTACAAATGTGGAAGCTGAGAGCCATGGAACAGAGACTTGTCCAGGTTTCACAGAGTCAGTGGTGGAACCAGAACTGAGACTGAGTCTTCTGAGCCCCTGCCTGGTTGACGCTTCCCACCATCCCTCTGCCTCTGCCAGGCAGGGACTTGTTCTGAAGGGTAGGACGGTCTCTGTTGTTCCAGGGATGGCTGGAGGTGGAGGTCAGAGGATTTGGAGTCATTTGGAGGAAGAGGGTGGTGATGTGAGGGGAACAGCTTGAGCCAGGGTTTGGCATTGGGAACCCCTGTAACGGTCTTCTCTTTGTTCCCCCAGGGAGACCCAGGGATCCAGGGCTACCATGGCCGGAAGGTAAGAAGGAGAAGGAGAAGGAAGGGGAGGACCTCACCCCCTAGTGGAAACCCAAGTGGGGCTTCACCATGGTGCACACAGGGTCCGGACTTGGTCGTGCTCACACGCTTTTGCACACACACTCTCGCAACGCTTGTGGGGTTGGCTGGACAGGGGTTCATGTCTCCACGTGGGGGAGAAGGAGGCTCAGCAGGGGCAGGGCCTTGAGCAAGTCGGTGGCCCAGCTGGACCTCAGACCCAGGAGGGTCTCCCTTGCCAACCTGAGTGGCTGTGTCTGTACCAAGGGGGGCCAGGTTCTCACTGGCCCCCTGAGCGCCTGGTAAGTGGGAGCCAGCCTGAGCTCCGTGCTGAGCATGGTGGGTACGTGGGGGTAGGGTCCCAGCCCTGCTGTCCGGTAGCTCACAGGCCAGAGAGACAGGATTTCTGCACAGATAACCCTGGTGAAGGCCACAGTTGGTGAAGGCCAACTGTGCTAATTGCTACCATCACAGAGTACTGTGTGAATACAGGGGGCGGAGAGACTAATTCCGCCCGGTTGGGAGGAATTGGGGAAGTCTTCCGGGAGAAGACAGCCTGTGAGCTCAGTCTTGGTGAACAGAGTATCCGTTATCTATTGCCATGTATCAAACCATCCCAAACTTACTGGCTTAAAATGATGATTTATTTCTCATGATTCTGTGGATTGGCCGTCTGGGAGTTCTGCTGGTCCCCCTTGGGCTCAGTCATGCAGTCCCACTGGATGATGGATGGAAAGGCCGGAGGGGCCAAGACAGCCTCATCCACATGTCTGGTGATTGGCACTGGCTGTGGGCTGGGTGCCCCTGTTGTCCCCACGTGGCCTCTCAGCCCCCGGGAGGCTAAACAGATGTCCTTACAGTGTGGGGGAGCAGGGCAGCGTTCAAAGTGGGCAAGTCCACTGCACAAATGCCTTTCCAAAGCATTCCCCTCCATCACATTTTCTGATGTCCTATTGGTCAAAGCAAGTCACGTGGCCAAGACGTGCGAGTCAGTGGGGCGGGGGACTCAGCCTCTACTTCTTGTGAGAGCAGTAGCAAAGCATTTGTGGCCATTTTTGATCCACCACTGTGGTCCTTCAACCAGCAAATTTCAAGGGAAATGGCATTTTAGACAGGGAAACAATTTGAGCCAAGACCCAGAGGCGGTCGTTACAATAATTATAATAACATAAAAATAATTTTAATAGAAGTCACCGCTTACTGAATGCTGACTATGTGCCAGACTGTCCTTCCACATGACCTGCATGATTTCTAATCCTAAGACTACCCTGTGAGGCTGGGACTGTTCTCCTACTTAACAAATGAGGAAACTGAGGCACACCCAAAGTCTCCTGGCTCATAAGTGGCAGAGCAGGAATTCAAGTCCAGATCTGGGTCCTTCCCATGGCACCACCTGCTGCAAGGAGCCCACCCTCCCCTCCAGACCCCAGCTGGGAGGCCTCTGGAGCCTTCCAGGAGAAGAAAATAGTCAGGAAGGAAAGGGAGGATGGTGGGGGGGGGGGCGGATTTGGAAAGGGAAGAATCACTCCAGAGAAGCACATTCCGCACGCTCTGTAATCAGGCGGCTGCCATCACCGCATTGTTTTATGGGTGCTTGGTGGGTGAATGCAGAGACCTGAGAGATCTTTAATTAGTTCTGCATAAAGTGAGAAGTTTGTATTGTGTCAGGAAGTGGAAATTATAGCCCCCGCTGTTGCCTCCATCCACTCATGCAGACTCACAAAATTTACTGCCTCCTGGAGCAGCACAGGATCGCTTTTCCCATTAGCAACCAGACCAGCTCTTTCAAGCTGTGAAGAAACCGTGGGGCCAGGAGAGGTTTCTGTGGGGTCATGGCGATGCCCACAGCTGGCATCCGTACCATGGCGGGCATCTGCTTTCTCCTGTCAACTGGAAGTCTGGTTCTTCCAGGTAGGAGGTTGGGGGCCTGTTGTCCTGAGGGTGGGGAGGCCTCAGCGTAGGGCTAGATATCATGATGATAGGGGGCCTGGTCCCGTGAGTGTGGCAATCCTGGGCTCAGATTGTGGGAAGAATCATTCAACCACAGCTGCATTGAATTTGCAAAGAACACCAGCATGGTCCTGCTGACAGAGGGGCAGCTCCTGACCCCTAGGAAGCCTGCTCTGGGGAGAGAAGGCTCTAGCATGGAAGGGGAAACGTACTTCTTTTGCATGACTGGAGTAGAGCAAGTCCTGATGGGTACCTTGGGAGGGAGGAAGCTCCCCATCGCCAGAGGTATTCAAGTAGAGGCTGGATAACTAGGGGTCTGGCATGTATTAAGAAAAGCTTCTATATCAAATGAGACCAGACTAAAATCCCTTCCAGCTCAGGGAAGCTACAGCTTCCAGAGGACAGCGTTGGCTCCATACCCTCTGGAGAAGAACAGACCCCTGGCTTTGTGGGGAGTCTGTCTCCTTGAATCTTTGTCGAGGTCATCCCCATCCTTTCTTTCTCTGCCAGACCACCCCCTCTGCCCTTCCACAGAGGCCTCTTCTCATGGAATCCGGAGGGGCTGTGAGGCTGCTCGCTCCCCCTCACTGCCTCTCTGGGGTTCTGGAAGGCTCCTCCTGCCTCCATTCTCCCAGCCTGTCCTCAAGTCTTTTCAGTGGGTGCTCCTGGAGCCACCAGCCCCAAAAACCAACCGGCCTGGGGTGGTCTCAGCACCCTTGTCTCTGTGCTGGCCCTCACGCTGCTGGGACCATTGTCCTGTCATCACCTCAGCCACAGCCTCCTAGTCCAACAGAGGCCAGGGGGCGTGCTCTGGGGACTGATGGCCAGCAGTAGAGGGTCCACCCCACCACTTGGGGTCATTCCTCAAGGTCAAGTGACTCTCAGGAGGCTACAAGTACCCATCTCCCCACCCTAGCCCCATTGAGGCAGTGAGCGTCTTGACCCCTGTGATCACCATGCCCAGGCAGAAGTTTGCTTCCCATCAGAACTCAGAGATGGAGAGGCTGGTGCCCACAGACAAGTGTAGCAATACTTCACATCTCTGGTTTAGCCAGTTCGTTCACTCCCCATCTCCTTCGGTCCTTCCCAGGCCCAGTACTTAGAGCTCGTTATCCCCACTGTACAGATGAGAAGCTCAGAGAGGCTAATACTCTGCCCAAAGTTGGAAAGCTAGTGAACAGTCATGCTAGAATTGGAAGCTAAGTCCCGTGAGTCCAAGCCCAAAGGCCAGTGCACTTGCCCTGGTGCAGAAGTATATGTCTGCTCCGGGGGTCTCGCCCCGGCTGAGCTAACTGCTTGCAGACCACTCTCCGCTGTGGTCTCTCTGGGATGTGGAGCATTATCCCTCAGGCTCCCTTCTTCTGTCCATCAGTTCTCTCTCTCGCTCCTCCCCTCTCTGCTCTCTGTTTGGAGTGGGTCACTAACATGAAGGGCGGCTTGATTACAGATGCTGGGAAGATGACTTTGCTCCCATCCCGCCACCCTGGGGAGGAGCGGGCAGAAGCGGGTGGGAACACTGAGCTGAGACGGACGGAGGCCGTGGGACTGCCCCTTGTGTGCAGGGAGTGAGGGGCACCTGTAGGGTGACCGATGGACCCTCCACATCGGCTTCAATTGCTCTGTCCGGCAACTTGACACACAGGCAGTGGGCCTGTCTTTCAGCGTGGGGTGGAATTTACCTCTCAGCAAAGACGTTTCTCGGCCTGTGAAGTTTGCTAATGATTAGGTCCTTCCACCACCACTACCACCCGCCTCTCCCTCCTCCTGGGCAGCTGGACCCGGCCTGGCCTCCTCTCAAAGGCCAGCGAGGCCAGCAGAGCAGGCTTCGCCGTCAGCTCCTTGGGATCAAAGCCCAGTGTGGCCAGCGGGCCCTGTGCTGGCCCCAGCCCCACTCGGGGCCAGCCCTGCTGCCTAGACACTGCATGTATTGTTGTGCACCCATGTGGTACCTATTTGATCCGAATTTATGACAGCGATCTACTTTAAATATGTTGCAAGACGCAAAGTGTGTTTAAAACATTACAACCTTGGCGCTCTTTCAGGAGGATTGACGAGTATTGTCAGACTTTATGTGGATCACAGAACCTGGTGAGAGCTTATCTCTGAGCGCATCGGAGCTGGCCTGTCTGTCTCTGCAGCAGGGGGTGCGTTTGACGCATGTGGCAGCCTGGGTGTTAAGCCTCAGGTTTGCACGAAGGACCATGGCTGAGCACACATTCCCCTCCCACAGACGGTGGGCTGTGCATTTTCAGACAGAGGAGGCGGGAGGTGAGAGCCTCAAGCTAGAGCAGCTTGGGACTGCAGTTACTCCTCCCAGAGGCTGAGGGGGTCCCCAGAAACAGGGACTCCCAAGGGAGGAGATCCCGTGGGCCCTGTGACGGATGGCTAGGGCACTAGGGTGAGGGCATGAGGAGCAGAAGCTCACCCGCCCCGGCCCATCTCGGCCCTCCTTCTCTGGCCGTGCTGGCCCTCCTCACTCCTCCTCAATCCTTCTACAAAAGTGTGTGATCATTCTGCTCTGCCAGTCAGAGCAAGGGGCCGTGTGGGTGGCCACACTTCTGCAGAATGACAGCTACTATCGTTATATCTACCTTACTGGGCCTCGTCCACACACCAGGCTGTGTACAAGCACTTTCCCTGCATCATCCTGCTGGGTCCTTGTAACAATTCCTGGGAGGCAGGGTTTATTCTTATCCCCAATTTACAGATGAGCAAACTGAGGCTGACAGAGGCGAATCCCTGAAGGTCCACAGCTGGGAATTGGGGAAGCCAGGTCTGGCTGACCCCAAAGCCTTGCTCTGAGTGACTTGACTACCTGTGTCTTCTGAGCCCTGGGGGACCCCGGACATGCCTTCCCCCCTTGTCCTCCACTAGCAGGAAAGGAGGTAGCAGTTGAGCTGTTTTCCTTCCTGTGAGGAGAAGGTTGTAGCTGGATTCAGGCCTTTCTCTGAGCCCCCCAGGCTCTCTGTGAGCAGAACAGGGGGCACTTGGTGCGTTTTAGTCAAAGAACCAAGGAAGTGGGGTGCTTTGCCC